GTTTACGTTACGTTCGTACGTACTTTAGTACTAGTACTTTACTTAGTTACTAAGTAACGTAAATACGTTACTTCTTACTTTCTTTGTTCTATATATATATATATATATATATATATATATATATATATATTCATGTTCTGTTTACAGATTTGTAATTTCCTCCTTGTGGTTCCTTTTTAGATACTTCATCTGCAACGGCTTGGAACGAGTTGTACGAATTTTAAATGTGACGAAACGAAATTATGTGAGCCATTCCCTGCTTTACTGCTTTACTGCTTTTCTTTTTTCTGAGCTATTCTCTGCTTTACTAGTATTTTGTCAGTTTCCTGCTTCTATTGAAGGATGCATAGGTTGCAGATTTGGTTATTGGGTTTACCAGTGTTTTTCAAACTGTAGGTTGAGTTTTATGAATTTTAAATCAGGGGTTCGTTGGTTTTTATCTTTCTTGATACTCGTTTTCAAAATTTGAGACATGTTTGTTGGAACTGGTTTGTCAGCCCATGTGTTTAGAGAGAAGTTTCTTCCGTAATCAAGGATTGGGATACACTGATAAGGCCATTGTTATGAGGTGAGGTATTGTGATTAAATTTACAAAACTGCATATAACTATACGTTCTTACAGTAGTTTATTCAAGAAAGCTGTTCAAAAGACTAATTTCTAATATTGTGAGCTATGATGCACAAATAGTTATCTATGCTAAATAATACAGGTTTTGCATCCTATTAACACTGCTACTGATATTGGATGCTCCTAAGATACTCAGAAATATAAAATAGCATTATAATAAAATTCATAATATGAATAAAATATGTACTTATGGATAAGGGAATGTATACTATGAGACTATCCATTTTTGTTAAAAGAAGGTCGCATTCATCTCCAGCCATTAGATGTGAAATTTAGACACTAAAAACAATGCACAAAGTTTGAGAAAAATTTAATTGAGCATTGTGTATAATCAATGGCACACCCTTAGCCATTTGATTACTCATTTGATGGCTAGAAATAAGTGTAACCTCCTTGTGTCAAAAGTAAATTGTCTCATCTTATATTTTCTCACTGGATAATGATGGAGTTTCTATATCATGTATGTATCATTATGTCAGATGTATATGTATTTATAATGTACAAACTATATTATGTATTTATCTGTGTGTTAATTGCGACACTGGTTTCCATATTGATGTCCTGGATTTTGAGGAAATTCCTGAGTTCTATCTCTGCTCTCTGCATTATATCTGTATCTGGGTGTCTTAGGTTGTTAGCTGTGCATAACAATTTTGTGCTTTTTCAATTTATCTTCTTTGAGATGCTTAGTGTTCATTCGCCTTTCATGTTATTACAGTTCAACAGTGTTCTTGTTGAAGTTTATCTGCTTCTTATGCGATATTACCTAATTACACCATTGATTTGAAGCTAAAGTAGTTGTTATATTTTGCTTTGCCCCGCAATTTCTCAGAGGTAAATTTTGCGGCTTTGCATTTTTTCTGGACATTCTTTTCCTTAAACCAGTTTGGAATTTTCTTTGTTGATCTTGACAGCATGTATGTAAGGAAGCCTGGAATAACCTTCAAATGTATTTGAATGAGATAAGACTTTACTTCCTTACACACTTGCTTGTATGAAGGTCAATGTCTTTGTCCTATCTCACAGAGCTCCAGACTCCAGATTGATTGACTTTTTTGAATCTTTACCCCACAGAAAGGTGGTGACAGATATCTGATCTCTAAGAGATGACAAACATGTATGAACTCAACCAACAGTGTTCAAGGATTCCATCTATATCCAGAGGTGCCATGATCATGGCAACCATTTGTTTGATTATATAAGCAATATCTGCATGCTAGTTCTATGTCCTATCTTCTGAAGAACTTTGTGCGCTTCTGCATTCCATTTTAACTAATGCTCAAAATTGTTCATGAATGGATATGACTTGGGAGTTCTCTCATAAACTCAACCTATCTACAAACAAAAACACAAAATGAAGGAACAAGACAGAAAAGGGAAGGGCTCCATGCCGGGCCAAGTTATTGCAGATTACATGCATTGGACTACATATATATACTACCTCGAAATCATAATTGACATATTATAGTCTAGAACATCAGGGGTTTGGGGAATCCCATCAAGAAAAGGCCCTATTGATGTACTCCCCCAAGTATCCTTTGAAGTTAGCTCAAGGGACCTTAAGGAGAATCTGGATCATCTGGGATCCTCTCTCCCATGACTTGCAAGAGTTAGGATCCTTCACTGTTGCAGTTTGTCTATCTAAGGTCTCAGAACACTTCCATTGGAAGTTCCTTTATAGTATATGGTCCCAATATGCCCCATCTGAGAGACCACTTTTGAAAAGAACTTGATTGCATGGCTTCCATGTCACCTAGCCCCTAATATTAATATGACTAAATTTTTTTTTTTTGAACTTTTTTTTTTTGTTGTACTAAAGTTGTTTTTTGAAAAGAACACAGTGGCCTGATTGAAAGGTGTGGCTATGTGGAAACATGAGGTATTAAATTTAAAATTTTTCTTGTTCTTTTATTCAATGTACCTGAATTCCACTTACATGGGTTACTGAATATTTTTTTTTGAAGAAAGGTTAACTTGTATTGAATAGTAGAAAATTACCCAAGTAGAGCGAAAGAAGACGGCAGCCGACAAGTTAGGTTCTCAGAGAACAAACTAGAGGGAAGAAGAAGAAGAAAAGAAAAAATAATGGAAGGAGAAAAGGAGGACAATTTAAATACAGCAAAAAGCAATAAAAGGTAAAACACTATCGGTAGATTGTCGGACATCCTCAGTGGGGTTTTGGTCGACGAGCAAGCAGATAACCACTGTGGATCTGTTGCACGTTCTTCTATGAGCGCTGGTACATCAGGAGGCAGGCTGACTTTGGTGGCGGCTAGAGTAGTACTGTGGGCCGGTTGCACGCTGGTACCTCAAGAGACAAGGTAACTTAGGAGGTAGCTAGCTCCCCTGAGGGGTCAAGCGTTGTATGCAGCTTGGCAGCCAACAGTGGGTCAGCAGAGGTAAAAGTGACCCTCCAATGAGGGCTTTCTTTTACAGCCCCAACTTCAGAAGATAAAAACTTGGGCATGACTATCTTCCATAGGCACTGCTGTTACGAGAGGTTGACTGATTATGGAAAAGAGTGTAGCGGCCTTCCCTGAGGAGAGAATGCTTCCGTGAAGGAATTGGCAGCCTAAGAATAGCTGCTGCTAAGCAGAGGGTCTTCAAGAAATTAAGGCTTGGGCAATACTGTCTTCGATGAGTACTACATCTTCAAAAGGCTAGCTCCAGAGGCTAGCTGCTCTTCAGCGGGTGGACCAAAGGGAAGTTGTAGAGATGATGGGATTGAAGATTTCTTTTGGTAAATGTCACACTCTTTTTTTTTTTGTGGGGGAAGGTAAGGGATAGAAGTTATAAGAGTATGAGTGGGGGAAGTACAGAGATAGAGCGGGTGGGGGAAGCTTACAAAGGCAAGAAGAAAGAGAAATAGAGACAATGTTTAGATTGGGGGAGAATAGGGGAGAAAAGGGGAGAAAGGATATGGTTGTATAATAGGATAAGGTAAGATAGGGGGATTAGAGAGAAAGAGAATGTGAATGTTGGAAAGAAAGAGAAAGAGGAGATGGGGGATAGAAGAGGAAAGAAAGTGTGGTTGTAAAAAGGAGAGAGAGAGAGAGAGAGAGAGAGAGAGAGAGAGAGGTGAAGCTAGGTGAGAAAGGAGAGGAGGAAATAGAAGCAAAAGAGAAAGATAGAGAAAGGGGGGAGGGAAGGATGGGGGAATTAAGTCACAAAATTGCGTACCTTTGTTGTCGTGGCCGAACTAGGATCTTCATCTCCAGTTGGAATGGAAATGGAATTCTGTAGCTACTGAAATGGGGGGCTACTAAATATTGCTGTAAATAAAAAATAATACCCTAGATACAACCTAGGATCTTTATTTTCAATGCCAAAAGAAATAGAAATTATCAAGGACCATAAAATAAACTTCTACTATAATTTTTAGCACAATACATGTTCTTGGTCATTAACAGAAAAATAATAAATAATACTGAAAGTTAATTAAAACTACTGATAAGACTTTCTAGAAGATGTATGGAGTTACCCTCACAGGTCTTGGTACACCCCACACATGATTCCCTGATCGATGGAGCTTTTTTACTCCTTTAGGTGTTGCTGAAAATTCTGAGATAGGTAAGCTTTGTAGGCAATACTTCTTTTTCTAGGGTTTTAGAGAGCTCAAAAACCAACTAGGGTTTATAAAAATCCTATGTGAACGAAATATGACTAAATTTGGGAATTGATCTCCCTCTAAGCTGGGCTTCTCGTTTCTTTCTTCAAAATGCAATAAACCATAGCTCTAGGGTTTTACATACTACCACCATCTTTCTTTTTTTCTTTGGGTGGTGTGACACATAAAAGAGGAGAGAGGATGGTGTGACTTTCTATGGGACCAAAAAAGGGAGTCACGTATATTTTTCACTTAAAGAGAAAAAAATAGTTGCATGGAGGATAGAGGGAGAGAAAATAATAGGTGTGTGGGAGAGAGAGATCTTAGGGCATTAGAGAGAAATCTTTTGTAATGAGAGAGGGGGTTGAAATCTTGTTTAAATAGAAACAAGATCCATTTCCTATTTTTGAATAGGATTCTAATCCAAGTATGCCTTATCCAATTTCCAGCTAGATCTTAAGGATAAATATAAAATCTGTGGGATGAGAGATTTAATCAGAGCCATCTATCCCACAAATTATCGATCATGATTTTGGGTAGAAATATAAGAACCTTATCTCTTTGAACTTTTGACCCAAATCCAACTCCTTTTTAAATTTGAAATACAATCAAACTTAACCATTATCTAAATCTTCTGTAATCAAGGATGATCTATCTTTAAAATTCCCATAGGATAGGAAACCAAATCTAATTTACAGTCAAAAGATTTCCTATAAAATTCTGAACCAAATATATATATATTTTTTGATAAACGTTAACATTTGAATTACTGGAAGAGGAATAATACAAGTTTGGGGTTAGTCCGAGAGTACCCTCTAGGCGGGACTCTTTGGTAAAAAAGAATAGGTCGGAGGACCCTATACAAAAAATGGGGTTATAGTATAGTCCCCTTACAAAGTTTACAATGGGTTCACAAATATTGGCCCCTTGCAAGTGCAAGGTTTACAGTGAAATAACAAAAGTGGGCTAAAAAAGTTACCTGTATAAGTGGGCCAAATAATTTTTTTTTTTTTGAAAATGTATTTTGAACCAAATACTAAGAAAGTGAGGGGTGCCCCTCTTTCTCCTAAAAAGTGGTGTGCCCACTTTTCCTTAAAAAGTGGTGTGGAGTTTTTTTTTTTTAAAATGGCGTTCCACCTTTTGGTAAAAAGGTGGCATGCCACCCTAGGAGGCTGTGTGGCCATAGGGGTGGCTCACATACATGTGGGGGGTTGGATCCTTGGTCCCGACATGTGTTATATCAAGATTTGAAATTTTAATGATTATTATAGTAGAAATAATATTTTAAAATTCTGAAAAATTATTAAAAAATCATAGAAACATCTATAATACC